TGGGATGTGGTAATACTGGAAGGTACTGCAAATTGTTCACCTTTGTTGATATATGTAATTGAGTGGGGTTCAGCTACAGTTGTTTTTGTCATTTCTCCGTCTCAACTTGTATTTATATTTAGCTTATTAGGCAATCCTTTATACAATGCATACAAAAAATATTCGTTCATCTGGATCTCTAATTTTCAGTTACATTACTATGGTAAATTTGCAGTGTACATTTGGTGGAACTAAAAGGTACAGGTGAACTGTATGCTATGAAGGCAATGGAGAAGTCAAGAATGTTGAACCGCAACAAGGTATGAGCACATAAGAGAACCCCTGCGTTCTTCAGCAATGAATAAGAAGATATCCCTGCAGTGTCCAGAAAAGGCCCTTTGCAATTTTGTGCATGATTGCGTGTCATTTGTACACCCTTACATGTCTGCATATCCATAGCTCTTGATTGTAAATGTGTGGTATTTGCACACATACACACATGGATGCCCTTTTTCATTTGTGCAAAAGTGGAATGTGGTGTAATTTCTTTATATATCACCGTGGTCACATATTGCTATTGTTGGTTTTCAGGTTCACCGAGCATGCATTGAGAGGGAGATAATTTCACTACTCGACCATCCTTTTCTCCCCACGCTATACACTTCATTTGAGGTAATTTTGTATATGGATGTTTTGGATGCATGGGATGCTTATGCATGTGCACTAATAGGCATAGAAATCTGATTGAGGGCCAGTTCAATCCTTCATTCTATCTAAATCACATATATCTTGTTATTGACTATCCTAAGTCAAAAAGGCTAAACCTATTTGGCAACAACATTGGAGGACAGATAAGCACTACCTTATAACGATTCTACTTGTTTTACAAAGGAATTATTCTTTCGTTTATTTGAACTCTTCTAATTCAAATAAACAAAAGAGGAAATTGGATTTCTCTTAGTTGGAAGGCAGACTTATACAGGTCATTGGACTTTAACATTTCAGTGTTTCTTCAAGGGGATTATTACACTTACAACCTGATTTTTCAACCATTCTCATACTGGTCTGTTATACAAGCTAAGAAGCCATGATTTGTCGAACTAATATGCTTGGCAAGCATGACGAGTCAAAATAGATATCCGGACTCTGTGTCTCAAACTCTACAATATTTTATGGACTTCATTTGACATTTGACTTTGTTGGTGTTGGTTCTATAGTTCCTATGTAAAAGAAAGCAAAAAAGGGTTCTAAGGGAGTTGTAATCTGTTGGTTAAGTGTCAACAAGTTTTATTTACGCAGTTCAAATTTTTTAATTTACTGTCAAATTTTTTAATTTACTGTTATGGTATAAGTTCAAGTATGCTAATGTTTTTTTTCTCATCTCCTCAGACCTCCACACACATTTGTTTGATATCAGACTTTTTCAGTGGTGGAGAGTTATTTGCTTTGCTTGACCAGCAGCCAATGAAATTATTTAAGGAGGAATCTGCGAGGTACTTCTATAATTGTACTCTAACATCTCTCGGTACCATCTTAGAGCTACCACATACTATTGCTTGGAATTAATGACTGGAAAGCATTAATCTGTCTATTGCTACTTTAAACTCTTGCTTATGTGGGATTCAAGTTTCCAGGGATATGAGTGCTTTACTTTGTGTTAATTGACTTTCAAAATGAGCCTCGTATCATGAATCCAAATGCGGTCATGCATGCTTTTTTTTTTGCTAGTGATTAAATAAATCCAATTATGACAACTTTTGGATTTGTTTGTGATATAATATAACTAAGGATCTAAAGTGAGGCAGCAGAAGAGTATGATCCATGTTTCCTAGGAGATGCATTGTACTCCTTGGTTGATGTAATAAAAGATTTATTATAAATTCAATTTCCTCTTACGAACTGGTACCAGTCATGGAACAAAATTTTCAGCAGGCTAAAACCCTGCTTTGGCTGAAATGTGATGAAACCATATGCACCCTAATCCTGTTAAGGTAGATTTCAAAATATGGTGGAGACAGGGATATGTTTGGGCATAACTGTGTCCACAACTGCTAGATAACACTTTTATTCAATGTTGTGGATGGTGGACCTTTGGTCGTGTGAAGCAGAAATTGATGTTTGGTACATGTGAATTGCAGACTTTTTACTGTTAGATTGATTGCGGACTTTGTACAATCAATGTTTAACCAACTATAAAGTAGCTCTCTTAAGATTAGTGTTTTAACTTTCACTATCTGCCAGGTTTTATGCGGCAGAGGTGGTTATCGCCTTGGAATACCTTCACTGTCTAGGTATTTTGATTTAATGATATGAACAGTTTCTGTGCTCCACTTGACTATTCAATGTTTTTTCTAATTGTTTTCTACCGCATCAAAAATGGAAGAAAACCTCATGAAGTTATGGGTGTTCTTACCAAATCCTGGGGTTAACATTTACTGTTTATTTAATTTTCCTGACACATAAATTATAATCAGATAAGATTAAGAACGAGGATGTCCAAGAAAGTAGGACTGGCCACATTTGAATATAAGATGAGAGAAATTCGGTTGAGATGGTTTGGACCGAAGACCTACAGATGCTCTGGGTAGAAGATGTGACTAGAAGACGGAGGGTTAGGCCAAAAGGGGTAGATGAAGACCTAGGAAGATTTTGAACGAGACTATAAGAAAAGATATGGAGTACTTGGAGCTAACAGAGCGTTTTAGGATCCATACAGCCAACTCCACTTAGTGGGATAAGGCTTGGTTGTTGTTGTTGTTGTTGATGTAAACTATAATCAGATGTAAGGTGAGTTATTCCCTGAGTATAAGGATTAGCACTTGAAGCACGGGAATCCAACCCACGTTTGACCTATTATAACGAATCTGCATCATTTATGATGAAGAACATCTCAGTTCTTTTGCTTCTTAGCTGACTGTATCTGTGGCTTCTTACAGGAATAGTATATCGCGACCTTAAGCCTGAAAATATTTTACTCCAGAAGGATGGGCATATTGTTTTAACAGATTTTGATTTATCATTTATGACATCGTGTAAACCCCTGGTACAAATCACAATCCTCTTATAAAATAATGTTGCTTCTCTCTTTACAGACTTACTCTTCTTATTTGTTAATATATATATATATATATAGATATATAAAATTTTGTGCATTGCACAGATTATAAGGCATCAATCGCTTAACTATAGAAGACGGTCGAGCAGTCAACAACCACCAACATTTATTGCAGAACCAGTCTCACAATCAAATTCATTTGTCGGAACTGAAGACTACATTGCTCCTGTACATGATCCCCTTCCATTATGGTTTTAGGTCATCTTACTTTCAATATTTTGATTAGCGGATTAGACAGAAGAGCATGCTTTGTTTTTGTATGGTTCTACAATGATTGGTTAACACCTCAAAAAAGATTTTCGTGCGTAGTCACTACATGGAACTCAGGATCAAAGTCCCCTATGAGACATGCACGCGCGCGCACACACACACACACAACACGAGCTTTTCATCAACAATAAAATGTATGCATGTGCTTCATACCATGCTAACTGCTCTGACATTTTGTATGTCATGTTTTGGAATAATTGTATAACTACAAATCTGGTCAGTGTTTCGTCTGCCTGTATATTTTTGAAGCTCTTATAGGTGCTTGGTTTCAGGAAATTGTTACTGGTGCAGGCCACAGCAGTGCTATTGATTGGTGGGCTCTTGGTAAGCAGTAAATTTCACGAAATTATTACTTATGCTCGTGAAGGAATCAATTTTACAGTACCACTGCTTCCACTGCTTTGAAAATTACTTTGGTATTCAAAAGTGTGCGTATAATAAAACTTTGCAATCATGTTATCATGGAGTTGTTTCCCCCCCCTACTGTGTAACTCCTACTTTCTTGATAGAGCTGTTGTACATTTTATCACTAATGCTTTTGTTTGTGTTCGGAATTCAGGTATTTTGTTGTATGAGATGCTGTATGGCCGTACACCTTTCAGGGGTAAAAATAGGCAGAGGACATTCACCAACATCCTGCACAAAGATCTCACGTTTCCAGGCAGTGTTCCGGTAAATCTAAGATCGAACTGTGCATTAATTCTGTCATTTTGGACCCTGTGATCGTTTGACCTAAAGATGGATGAAGTTTTACTACTTGCGTTTGTATTGTCATTATTGGAAGCTTCGAGCTAATTATGCACCCACTAACATTACTTGATGTTCCAGGTAAGCCTTGCAGCACGGCAGTTGATCAATGCATTGTTGCAAAGAGACCCGGACACACGTTTAGGATCCAATACTGGTGCAAATGAAATCAAGCAACATCCTTTCTTCCGTGGATTTAATTGGCCTTTGATTCGTTGCATGGTAGGCAGACATCCATCATAGAAATACTGGTTTTTAAATACCAATAGTGATCTAGAGAGCCCACCCAGGATTCGAATTCTTAATTACGTCTTGAAATTCTGTGTTTTTTGTATGCAGAGCCCTCCGACATTCTCTTCAACCCATTGAAAAAGATCCAAAGGCCAAGCTTAGAACGCGGGAAGATGGAGTCCTTGTAAATGCAGTGGATTCGGATAATTTTCTAAAGGTTCAGTTTAATTTCTTTTGCATAGATTACAATTTTGCCTGCTTGCTTCTGATTTATTATAATTTTTGTTAAGCTGTCACTGTAGACTTGGTGTTACAGACCAGAAGTATGGTATCTGATTGTACGGAAAACCTCGCCTTCGGAGCATGAAATTCGAATCTTGGAGGCGCAAAGAAGCGCCTGGGGAGGGGTAGCGATTTTGGTGTCTGGGTTGGGTGCAGCAGAGGTTGTACAAGGAACCAACGAGCGAGCTTATTTAACCGCGAATAAATGTTAACCAGATTGAAATTAATGTTAATATGAATGCATGCCCTAACTCCGAAAATTCATGTTTAATTTTATATTGAAGGACTTCATTAACATATAAGCTTTCAATTCAAGGAAACATGTGAAACGTTGGCCTTCGTACTACAGTATACAGCCAGTAGCTTTGCCAATTATGAATAAACCATCCACACAAGATATATAATCACCGACAAATCGGAAAAGTTTCATTGTACAATCCTTAAACAGCGTATCCAACGACGCACATCGGTGATGATAAAAATTTCAATAGAATAGTAACAATTTTAATACAGACACACTTCAACGTGTATTGATACAAGAAGTGACCACATGCTTGTTCTTCACTACTTGGTTGCCTGCGCGATTATATTGCTTATCGAACTAGCCTGCTCTTTTGCAGTCTCCACCAATGAATCCTAGAACCGAGAAATAAAATGCAATTAGCGAGAGTAGAAATATTTGATGACGAATGGAACTTATCTAAGATAATCTGTACCTGCGCAGCTATCAACCGTGCAACTGTTTTCTTGCTCGACTCTTGAAGTTCACCAGCAATCAAAATTTCATCCAGTATATAGTAGGCCTACCATGTTGAATATAGCAAACAATCAAGCCAGATATTTACTCCCTTATAAATGTCATATCAAGTTATCGAAATATACATCAGAAAATTCTCACAAGAGGATTGAGGCAAATTATTGCATTGGTTACTAACAATATAGCAGCAACATGTGCGCACAAACAGTAAATACCTATCTTCTTTGTAACTGCAATTTCAAAAGTCTAAAAAATCGACTCTTAATCAAGCATAACATACATACCTTGTGGAAGTTAAAGATCAAATCCAATTCACAGACCTGTGGGTATAAACATATTAGTACACTGTACAACAACATCCTTTATCAAAATGAAATGAAGAATATAATGTCATCACTCACGCTGCCAAAGTATCGATCGAGAATCTCAACAAAATGATGAATCATTTCTAGGACCTCTAATTCGTTATCTTCTTGATCAATACACATGCAGAAATACAGACTAGCATATCTGCACAACAGACTCACAGAAATTCAGTAACAGAAGTCCAAGACAGGCCACTCACTAATAATTCTGTCCCTAGAAGAGGAAAACACAACCATATTTCTTTGCATCACCTTTTATAAACAACTTTGTATCCTCTCCAATCCACAAAATTACAGAGCTTGGGACCTCTTGCAAGAATCACTCCACTAAGCTCACGAAGAACCTTTGCAATACGCAAGAACACACATTCATACGGTGATTAACAATGTGAGAATCAAAAGCCATTCTCATTACAAGAATGAAAAAGTGTTAATGTAATTACTCTTCTTGGAGTTATATATTCTAGTGACGATTAAACAACCTGAGAAAACGAGATGAGATTTATCGACAGTACCTTATTTCTTTCCTTTTGAGTATAAGGAGAATACCATTTTGTCAACCTCACTTTTCCTTGTCTGCTTATAAGAAGCACAAAATGAATCTACATCACAATCCATTATCAGATCAGCAACCAAACTAAAAACCCAAATAAATTCAACCCCAGCAATGCTGTCAAACAACCAATTTCTTACTTCAACACAAATTCTAAGAAAAATTGCGTACTTTTGAGGTAATGGCATGGCAAAGATGGATCATACTGTAATTTCCTATAACTACAAAAACCCAGCTTTTGTTCATAAGAAAACAAATCAAAACACGAAAAAAAAAAAAATTCCCAGATAAGTAATCATCGATTAACCAATTCGACCCAGATCTAAAAAATCTAAGTTCGCACAACCCAATCTAAGAAATTGAAATTTGAGGACGAGAAAAGCGAAAACAACTAATTGGTGTATGATGAGGTATGAGAAATCGGTTAGAATTACCATGGCTGCGTTCTCTGTGGCGGTCGATTGCTTGCTCTTCTTCAAAGCTCGAAGCTTTCGCCGAAACCCAACTCTGAGCTTCTAATCACTGCAAATCTTTGATTAAACTTTCCGATATTCTTAAATTGGGACGGAACGTTATGAAAGCGGTATTGCCCACCTCCCAATGGGCTCAGGAAAAGCGAGGCAAAAGGCCGGGCTGGCTGAAAACCAACTTCTGAGCCCCCAAAAAGCCCATAAATAAACCCCTTTCAAGTTTCCTTCCAAAAGGCCCAAAATGTAATCAAATTGTTGATTTTGTCTTGTACAAATGTTTAAAGAAAAACAAATGTGTGGTTTTTATCAGAAACTATTTATTTATTTGATTTTTATTGTAAAATTTTACTGTTTATTTGTGATGTTTTTCAATACAATGAAATTCTACAAAGATTTTTCAGCGATGACCAAAACATTATTTGATTTAGTGTTCAGATCATGAAGGACGTTATGAAATCAACTCAAGCACATTGACGTGAGCGCTGGTTAAGAAGAAAAAAAAAATACCAACTCATTTTTCAATTGTGGGTAACATGGGACCCACTTAACATTTAAAAGCCAACTTATATTTTCAATTGTGGGTAACATGGGATCCACTTAACATTTAAAAACTTAACCTATGTTGTATCATTGTTTGGAGTGGCTGAATTTTGCTTCTTTTGACAAGCAACGATATTTGGTATTTTATTAATCAACCGAGAGCAATACATAGGTGCCGATTAGGTTTAATCCTCCAGTGACCAAGAAAATTTTCTGGATGTTAATTTGCGCAGATGAGACAATAATGGTAAACCTTGAACAGCTATCACATGTACAAGAATTTCCCACAACACCCATACAAACCTATCACATAAACAATATATAAAAGATTTGTATAGGTGATTGCAAACAATCGTCGCCAAATAGCACGGCCTCATAAAGTCATTACAACAGCGAGACCACATAAAGTCATCGTTAGTAGACAAGACCATATAATACAATGCTGAAAGCGAAAACCAAATACAGCCATCCTTGCGGCACAACCACAACACTCACTACGCAAGACAATAGAGCTAAACTAAACTAACCTAAATTAAATTAAACTAGGCTAAAATAAACTAATCTGAGATGGGAACCACATAATGGACCCCATCTAATAGAAGGATAGAACCCTCAAGCAAGGACCACATCGATGCCACGACACAAGACGGGTCCAGCCGCCACATCCACAAATCCAACAAAGCAGCAACAATGAACCGCAAATGGCAGAGGTTCCAGATGCGACCACCGACAAAAAGCCCAAATAGAGCCATCGCCAGATTTGCACTCCTAAACCAAAGTAGGACTACCAAACCCACTGCATCCGCAGACCCACCTCCACACCTAGAGCACAAGCGGCATAAACAAGAGAATCTTGAGAAGGCAAGGTCTGGATCTAAAGGTTGGGGGAGAGACACGGGAATGAGGATGAGGGTGGAAGGCTGAGAAGACTGGTTTGGGGAAGACAGCGTAAAGAAACAGAAGAGGGATGTAGGGTAGACCTGTAAATGGGTCAGGGTTTATTGAGTTTGGGTCAGGTTCAACTCTACCTATTAAGCTAACGGGTCACTCGAACCCAACCTGTTAAGCTAACGGGTCATCCATTTCAACTTGTTTCACCCGTTAACCCAAAAGAGTGGAGAGTTTATCCATCCATAATGTCTCCATCCCCGAAAACTTCATGGCATAAATACCATTGCCACTGCCAGTTCTCGATCCACAATCACGAGACAGTGCAAAATATAAAGTATGACTTCAAATTAATTACTAAAGTTCAATGTAATAGAGGAAAACAATAAACATCCAACCCAAACTCCTTTATCCACCTAAAAGGGAAACATTTCGAAGGCCAGGAGAAAAATAGAAGGAAATATATAAGTATGAGCAGGATACCTACATAGGGAGGATATAGAAACTTACCGAGTAGTAACTTATGTTGTTTGTATCAATTTCAGTGAAACCAAACAACAACAACAACCCAATTCCAATCCAAAAACCAACCAAAACAAAGCAAACTCAATATTTTTAACTTCATGGGGATAAATTAACAGCTCCAAATTACCCAAAAATGGAAATTTTAATAAGAGAATATACAAATGAACAAATTTTACACAAAACCCATTATCCAAAACACAACCAATTTTTTTTTTTTTTTTTTTAAAGAAAACCCTAGAAACCCAAAATCTCCAATCCAATCACACAGAGAAAGCATAATTTACACAACAGAAGCACAATCGCAGTTGAAATTATCAAACACAAATCAACTAATTCCGAATTAATTCGAAGTTGTTCTGAAGAGACCACCTAAAATCAAGCTCAAGTAAAAACTGAGAAAAAAATAGACGAATCTAATCTGCAGAAACGAAGAGGTGGAAAGGAATCGGGCATTAGGGTTTCGAACTTTTCAGTCGGTATATTGTTACGCATGAAAGAAGAGGTGGAAGAGAATTGGAGCTCACTAGAGAGAGAGTGGTGGAGTCGGAAGGGAAGGAGCACAACGATGGCCGATGAGCGATCTCTCAGTCTTATATAGCAAAGCCATGCGACGGTGCAAGAGAAAGAGAGAGAGAGAGAGAGAGAGAGAGAGAGAGAGAGACGTGAGGAACTTGAGGGTTTTCTATTAGGACTGTTGAAATTACACAAAAGTCCTCAATAACGGGTCTTAACGGGTGGTTAACGGGTTTCGCGGGTTCACCCAAAATGACTCGTTATTTAACGGGTGATTAACGGGTTGACCTGTTAATCGCCCAACCCGTTTATCACTCACCCGAATACTAATTTTAACGGGTCGGGTGAAAAATGCCAAGTCTAGAGATGGATGGCGAGGTGAAAGAAATCTGGGATAAGAGGGGGAATAGAGGGGAAATAAAAGACGGGAAGGAGAGAGGAAGGCTAGAAGGAGAAGGAGAAGTTGCCACTAGCTCCCAACCTTAGCTAGAGGCCGGTGGCCATGAAGGAAGGCTAGGGTTTTGACGTTGGTTTGAGAGAGTTTCCAGAGAAAGGGTTTCTCGAGAGAGTGGCTGAATTTTGCTTCTATCCTCCAGCCATTGCCTAACACATTCAATATGCTTTTACTATTATAAAATTGAGCTCTTCTTTGGGTTAAAGTTCCACCAAAACACATAAAATACCCTATGTCTTTGGATTATATAATTTAATTATGTCAGCTAATAATATATCAATGGCTACATGATTGGACAAAGAAATTATGAAACGTTACATAAAGGTAATCGGAATAAAAATGCAGAATTGAATTTCGATTACATAAATTTTGAAATCTAAGTCCAAAATTTCTAAGATTTCAAGATTGCTATTCGCATTAACCCAACACCACCAACCACTACTTAGCGTCTCTACCCAACGCCACTCATTTTTCTTCTCCTTTACCACCGTAACCACTCTCTCCAGCGCCAGAGCTCAGACTCATTGCAACCACTTTCCTCAGCACAAGAACTCAGACTCACTGCAACCCCTCTCTTCCATCTGTCTTTGTTTTCCCTAGACTCGAGCGTAAGATAAACCTTTTTACTACTTGAGCCACAAGTAACTTTGATAAAAACCATAAAAGGTTGTTAGTTCCTTTTTGATTGGAACTATTTGTTAAAACCATAAAATGTGAGTAAATTTTCATCTGTATCTAATCATAGGAATATTGAACGTAACATTATTCTTTCATCTGTCATGTTCTTCACGCATGACGATTCACAAAACTCAACAAATAATGGGGAAAGGATAATAGTTTTATAGGGTTTACTAATCCAATAATTTCAGTGGACTAGTTGGCTTGCGGAATGATTCTTACATTTTTAAAACTTAATTAAACAAATTAAGAGTATGTGCCTCGTGTTCTCGTTGACCTAACCCCCATCATGCTGCATGCATCATCATCAACAATTAAAACATAGTACTTTAGATGCCCTACTCATTTGTTAAACTAATTTTAATTGCCAATATTGAAAAATATAATAAAACAAGCAACTAAAACTATATCAATTGATATTCAAACATACACCAGAAAGCTACACAAAAATTCTTTTGATTTAAGTCCTTGGAATTCGTTGTAGACTTGTATGTAGCCAATTTGGTTGAGCAATGTACTCCAAGTTCAAATTTCTCTTTTATGTGGTTTAGATTCAATTAAAATAAACAAGTCCATGGAGTTAATCCGAGTGGTAGAGAAGGCGGACGTAGGGGCAAGGATTTTTCTAAGTGCAATGGTTCTCACTTGACCAATGCCTATGAGCTAATATCACATAATCCTTCTCTCATTAATTACTTTAAAAAGTTCATGTAGTTAGTCCAAGTGGTTAGGATGATGGATCGATGAGTTTAAGATTATGATAGATTTAGGCTTTGTTTTCCTCTAATATTACAAAAACATAAACTGTTTTTGCTTAACTAAGGGGAAAGGGATGGGGAAGCCTTGAACCTGAATGAAGAGGACCACAAGGACGATTAATTTCCGCTATGGCACTAGCCATCCTGCAATTGTCTTATAAATGACAAGATTCTATATGTATCTTTGCATGAAAGTAGAAATGTTTTCATATAATTAACAGCCAAGTACATGAGAAACCCTAAACCAAAAAAATCCAAAAAACTATTTCTGAAAAATATTCCTCCCTTTACATACATATCCTCTCTCAACAAACAAATAACTGCTAATTACTCAACTAATCAAAATTAAATAACTAATAATGCCAAGAAAAGCCACCATTAATGTATGAGGAAGAGATACTAACATCCTCATCAAGTTTTGCATGGCATGTTTTGACATTGAAGAACAGTGACCTGCAAATTGGGCAGCTAAAGTGACTGCTTTCAATCCATCTGTCAATGCAATCCACGTGGAAAACATGCCCACATTTTCCCAACTGGCTCACCAAATCCTCCTCCTCAAAATCCACCAAGCAAACTGAACATGTCTCCTCCAAAACTTGTGCACACCTTTTGGTACCATGAGCCTGCAAGTCCTGGAACCTGGCCACTGAAAGACTCGTACAGTCCTCCTCTTCCTGCTGCTGGAAATTAGTGAAAAAAATCACACCAAAAAACAATCTGGCCAAAAATTTCTTCATTTGGTGAAATGGGATCCAAAAGCATGTGT